ATAAATGTATGACACTTTGTCGGGACAACTCAACGAATTCAATGTTATTTATTAAGAAGTTGTATTATACAATTTATTATGCTCCTTAGGACGTCACTCATACCATAAATAATATAGACAGAAACTATTTTCAGTTTTAATTTTACTAAAAGCTGTTTGCGATTTTCTCGTTAAAGTTATTGACATAACTAAAAGCATATAATAAACGAGTGCTAAATAGTGTACAACTCTAATCCAATTATACGTTATATCTATTCAAATTAACAATAAAGAACTTAAAAAAAGTCATAAAATAGCTTTATTATTAATACGATGTAAACAATATTTTATATCACAATACTTCAATCAATACCCCTATAGCCTATATTATAACCATTTACATTTCATATTTTTCATTTTTATAAAAACTATTTTATAGTTATTGGGTTGGATAGTAAAATTTATTGCATGTATTTGTCAGATTATTTTTATTGAAGAAATATGATTAAATTTAAATTGTGTTAGCGAACAAATAAATCATTTGATTAATGAAATAAATTCTTATCACATTATGACCTTGATTTATATCAATTCAATGTAATAATTTTTGCAATGTATATTGTGCTTATTCATTTAACTGAGTTCATTATGCTCACATAGTCTTATTAAAGTCATCCTGTTATTAATGTTAACTACAAATTAAAATATAAAAATTATTACCTGACCTTAAAATTACTAAAAACAATATTTTATTTTACATAATTATTTTACAATTTTTACTGCTAGGTGGAGTATGATAAAATGAATGAATTATTAGCATAATATACATGATGTAGAAAAATACAAAAGAACTCAATGGTATCCTCCGTATTATTTGATATGATTATTTAAATGAATACTCATTTTAAAGGTTTTTTAGTTGTTTGTATGTAGGTAGGTAGTAAAAGAAAATGGAAACAACAATTGTTTAAAATTATGAGCTATATTTCAGGGAATTATAAACATTAAAAAAAATTCTTAAGACTTACAGTCATGATAGTTATAAGCCCTGCAGAGAAAAATACTGTTTCCACAAGACGGTTGCAATCTAGAAATCATAAAAGTTAATTTGCAATATTAATCTACAATTATTAATTACTCAAGTTTGGACTTGTCGGAGATATAACTCCACTGTCGTGATAGAGTCTCAATAATATATTGTAATTTAAGGCTTAACTTAAGGTTAATTATAAATTTGAATAAAAAAATCTTAACAATTATGTACAACGACCAAGTCCGGGTTAAGGTTCAATTTGGCCCAGGGACACCATATACTTAGTGAGCCCCCTTTCAACTTAAACTTCAAAATAATTGTATTATTACATATTAACGACTTTATATTATTGTATAATTTTTTACTATACAAAAGAATACAGGTCTATATTAGGATCGATGATATGGAATTTCGTTAAAACAAAAAAAGATACGTGTTTCTTTATTTTTAACAGGAATTTTTTTTATGACATTTTCAAAATTTTTAAACACTCAGTTGTACCAATATTAAAATCGACTTTATTTTTTCAAATGGTAACCTCTATATTTTTTGATGGATTCCAGTTAAGCTTTTTTTCTGAACATTTTGACAGTTTAATGATCAATTTTGGTTCGCTAGGTTATTAACTATGGTCCTCTAAAGTTTAGTACCTATAATATGCATTAATATAACATTTAACTGAAATACCTAATTTACAAGACCTAAATATTTTTTTCTTATAACTACCATTTTATATACTTAAAAGTTAAATAGCTAAATCGGTAATCTAAAATGTACAAAAAAAACAAACAAAATTGTTGGTAAACATAGTTCATTATTAATTTTGGAATTTTTCGTGATATAAAATTGAGAACAATTTTATTTTACAATTATTAATAATAATTTACCTACTAACCTACCAACTTAAATAATTTTTTTTTAAACTATTGGATAAAGATGGGTCCCCAAAATCAATGGGCCCCGGGACCGTGCCCCCCTTGGCCCCCCTTTAATCCGGGCTTGACAACGACTCATAAACGAAACAATTTCTGTTTGCACATACTGAATTCATCTACATACTGCCTTGATGTATTTTCATTATATAAACGGGTTTTATTATAACAGCTTATACCATAATAAATGAATGCATAATATTATAACAATATATACACAAAAGTATATGAAATGAAAACTATTTTGTTTCATACAATTTCATTATAGTACACAAACAGTAAATATATAGCTACGCTGCACTGTAAAGTTTTATTTTCATTATAATAAAAAAAAAGTAATACCATAAAATGCGTAAATAACGCAAGAACATAATAGATCAATAAAAATAAAACGAAACATCAACTTAGGTTTTTAGTTTTTGGATTCACTCATTTTGTACTGTTGAATTGGATCAGTTATACTAATACGTTTTCTATTAAATTTTCCAAACATGTTTTTAAATAAAAAAAAAAAATTAAGAATTAATTACTTGCACAGTAAATAATCATAGGTTCCATTATATAATATCGCCACATTTACCACTGTCCTACTATTCTTGCAATCCGTATCAAATCAATATTATTACCAATAGAATAAAAATAATTCCAAGAAATAAAATGTAATTTAAAAACCTAATTAAAACTCGTAAAACGAATATTACATTTCTTTTTCAATTTTAATAATATATTCATCATGATAATTACTTTACTGTGCTACAATACTTTATTTTGACGTTTCTGTTATTTAAGAATAAATTGGTTTGCTTACTGAAGTAGGTATACAACTGTATACCTACTTAGTACCATTGTACCAAACACTCTACAAAACATAAAAATAAAATAACTGTTACAAACTGTATTTTTTTTTGTGACAATTGAGCCTAGTAAGTTTTTTATTTTATGCATTAAACCATTTTTACTTAATCATTAGAATTTAATGAGAAGATAAATGTAGACAATAATGAATACCTTATAAAATGTTCGGAGGTAAAAAGTTTCAAATACATTTTTATAGATATACTTATATATAATCTACTAGTGTCGTAGTATTTTTAAACTCATGGTAGGTATAAATGTTTTAATTAATGTGTTACGATTTTACGAATGATCATAAATTCATAAACAATGATGTGTAGTTCTACATAGAATAATAAAAGAATATTGTTGTAAAATATTAAACTAATATTTTAATTAATAATTTAATATTATGATTCTGTAACAATGATATATTTATTGAAGTTTCCTCTATACTTTTTGTTATTTATGTACAGGTGTTTTTTTTTTTTAATGAACATGGCATGCATTACCATATTCATAACCAAGTAAAGATATAAATATAGTATTTATAATTTTAGAAAATGTTTAAATTAAATTTTAATGTTATTAACTCTACACATAATATAAAATATTAAAAAAAAAAATTATACAGGTCTAATTTACAAAAATACTCACATTTAGAACAATTTTTGTTTTTACTTATAAGAGTTGTTTAGGTTATAATAAAACATTTTAGAATTTCAGTGTATATAATGGTTATGTTCAACTGTTAAAAATAATTAATAATTATAGAAATGCGTTATTTCAAATGAATTGACAAATTGTTCAAAAAATAACTTTAAAGATTATTGAATTTAAAACTGTCAGATTAAAAGGGGTTTTAAAGTGGAAACTTCGTCCAGTAACTTTAATTTCTTCGATAAATCACAGAATAATTAATCGCAACTCTGTAAATTCTAAATTAGTAGTAGTAAGAATCTCCGATTTAATATATGAAAGTAAAAATATATGCTACAAAGCTAGAGTACATAATACATCATTAACTAATTTTGACAGTTGTTACTGACAAGTAAATAAATGATTATCCGTTACACATAATGTACTCTATAAACATCACACTGATAAATGAAACAACAAGAATACTAGGGAGGTAAAAAAGGAAAAAAAAGAATTAAAAAGAATAATACAAAACTTTGTGATGTAATTTTTTGTTATGTGAAACTTTAACGAAATATGAACTTGAAAAACAGAACTACTAATACCAGTCTACGAGTATGACATGGTTATACTTATTATTTGGAATACTGATAGAAAAATAAATCGTACATGTTAAAATTTAATAAAAATGTAAAAACCTATACACAGATATTATTCATCATTCATAAAATATAATAGCTATACAATATTTTTATACTGCAATAAATAATAATATTTGCAGTCATGACTATTGAGATCACTTTATTTAAATTTAAGACACTATTTACTATAGAATCTCAATGATGCTTTAATATTTAAACTTGGCACAATATATAGGTACAATACTACCTACTAGGCACCTACTTAAATATGTATAACTGAGATGCATTAACCTTTGTGCGATACGCTGTAGGTACTGATGGTTTTTTGTATACATTTTCAAAGTACATATTATTACGATTATTACGTACGTCGTACAGTTTAGTCATACTATTATTAACATTATTTTACAAGTTGACATTAATACACATTTAGAGGTAGGTACGACACAGTGGCGGTCAAACTGTTGAGGAGGGGGGGGGGGGGGGGTGACGGGGATTGATCCTCATGACCTTTTTTTCGATATTTATAATAACTTATATATTACGGTAACCATAAATTATATTTTTAATTATCAAAATAATAGTGAATGTTAAAAAATAAGTCGCATCCCCCTCGGTGAGAAAATCATTTGACCGCCACTGCTATGGCACAATTATCAAGAATTCCTGATGTATAATTCAGTTTTTAATTTACGTGCAATATTATAAGGTAACAAATTACTGTTTAAAATCTTTAAATCTTCTGAACAGCCTAAACGTTTTAGTGCGCAGCTGTACAATAAATTATTGTTATTGCAAGTGTTACCTAGACATTTCGTCACTCGGATGACGGGAATAAATGAAAAAAAAACACGAGTTATTGGCAAATAGAGCGAAAAAGCTAATCATGTATGTATATTTTTTTTTTCAAGAACTGTACAAATCAGAAGTCTAATCAGCTGGTCAATAGCAGACACACCGCTTTTTCGGGCACTTTGCTCCATAGACAATACATTGGTCCTGGCAGTATTCGTCAGCACCGGGTAATCCTTTTATTTCTCCGATTCCAGTGCATTGTTCTCTGCAAATATAACAAACCGATATCTAATTGGCTCAATTATTTTTAAAACGAATGACACGTTGTGACATAGTGCGAAACTCACGGACAAGTGCAGAATTCTTCGGGGCAGTTTGACGGAAAGTTTACACAATTGTTTTCACACCATTTGTCCATGCCGGGAACAATACGATACTTCTGCGTTGCAACACATACTTGGGCCCTAAATTAAAAGTAAACATTTATATAATATACAGTGAATAAACATAATATCTACCCTGTTTATTTGCGAAGATGAAATTTGTTTGAATAAAATCAAAATAATTCTTTGTTATCTTACAAGTCGGTTATAATAAAAAATAAATAAATAAATGTGGAGTGTGTCCTTAATGTACAATGGATTTGGTTGAAAATAGGTTAGACTGTGCAAAATGAAAAATATAAAATATAATGTAAAAAGGTTTTCATTGTTGAGTAAAATATTGAAATTTACAAATGATATTGAATGAATACGAAAAAAAATTACTATGAACATTATGATAGATAGAATACTACTAAAAATAAACATTTCAATAAATATTATTGTTTTGTTCGGTGTTTCCGATTTGTTTTACTATAGTGTAAATTATAAACAACACCTACAGTAGGTACCTATGCTAGAAGTTGATAATTTATACTCTTATATTTAAGTATAATATAAATTAAATAATATGAAATTAATATTGTATCCCTAGGTTTTTATTTTCGCATAAAATGGGTCAAGGGATATTATCGTAAATATTTTCATTTTGTTTGTAGAGACAGTTCTCAATAGCATTATTATGTTTTGTGATCAAAAAAGATAATAATAATATATTGTCTTTACTCTGAAACCACTTTAAATGCTTTTGTATGTAATAACTAATAAGTCGGGTTGACTTAACTTAATATTTTCAAATTTCATAGGGTTTAACTGCTTAAGTTCATATACACTTACTGAGAATTGTAACAAATCCCATTTTTAACAAACAAATGATGAAACGTATAGTTCTTTTTGGAGATAAGAAAATTATATTATAAATATTGTTATTATTATTATTAATATAATGATGGGTTTTAAAGCTTAAATATAAAAATATAAATATTAATTGGTTTTCTTGCTGTTTGGTTCAATTCAAAGTTATATAACACGGATTATTATTCCAAAAAACTATTTAATCGTTCGGTTCTGACGAAATGTATAAAAGTATGCAAAACATTTTTTAGCAATAATATTCAAACAATTGTGCATGAATATCAAATCAAAAAATATATTATTATTATTATTATTTCATAGTAATAAAAAAACTGAAGGATTTAAATTGGAATATAAATTAAAATTCTTTAATGTTTAACCAAATTCTGAAATACATTAAATAATCTTGTTTTTATCAGAGATATCTTTTAAGAAAATAATAATGTAATATCATTGATTATAAATACTATAGTATTAATCATAATCAATGGTAATATTATACGAGAACTACTAAATTGACATTTTAGCAGGTGTGTTAATATTGGTAATGATTTACCACGAAAATAAAATTGAGTAAACACGATAATAATGTGATTTTGTAATGTAATTGTTCTCGGTTATATATTTTATTTCATTTTTATAAAAGAAATCATAAAAAAAAATTCAACAGCATTTTACGCTTTATTATAGGTATTCGATTAAGGCCAATTGATATCCATTAATAATTAAAAATATAATTGTTTTTTACTATGACATGGAAATATAGAATTGTATTTTTCAGAAACTTGTTCTCAAAATAAAACCAATAAATCACCAGAATGCCATATTAGTTAATACTGACTTTATTATAAGTTTAAAAAACTTTTGAATAGCATTCATTTCCATAGTATTAAAAAAGTTTCCGGCATTAACAATTTACCTGAGTCTCGAGTCACTAACAAAAATGAATTATTATTCGTTAAAATATGATTTTATTTATTTATGCATATTTTTATGTATTGTAAACTTTATTAAGACCAACAAAAGTGGAGAAACTCTGAATATATTAAAATACAGTCATGTATTCTTAGCATTTGTAAGTTGACATTTTGAATTATCTTTGCGTACTTTTAAAACATTTTACTCTGAATTATTACTTTAACTTTTTACCTACTAAATAAATATTTCTAAGTTGATTATTTAGAAATGGTGTATGTAACATTGTTAGTTTTTCATTTTAACTGATTCATAATTAATTCGTACATTTAAAAGAAAAATAATTTTTGTACTAAGTTTATTTACAATTTGTTTTACTAGTAACTTGTAGTTTGCACCCATATTACTTTAATAATAATGAAACATACGATATAATTAAGTAAATTGGGGAAGAATGATAAGAAAATTATTGTTACGAATAGGTAAATAAATTTTAAAAAAAGTGAGTAAGTGGATGTCGCTCTGCTGTACAGTAGATTACAAGTGGGTCAATGTATAAAGGATTGTATTAAACTTGAATTCAATGATATAATATCATTGATTAAGAAAAACGATTCTGAGTGGAGACGGTATTATTTATTATAATATCCTGTAAGTTGAATTTATATTATAATATTTATTGTTATTTTTTATTCGTTTCTATGGTGATAAACAAAGCGTTAGAAATTACAATTCCATTTTTAGAGGTTTTTCGTAATTTGTTAGTGGTTTTTCCTGTGGCATTAAATAACTATTGAGAAAATCGAAAAATGACCTTTCTAAAGTACCATCTTGATCCAATTTGCTAAAAGATAAGGTACTATACAGGGTGATCCATTTAACGTAAGACACTTTATTGTTTAACCATCTACTTTTCGTATAATAAGTGTCTTACGTTAAGTGGATCACCCTGTATGTTGAAATCGAAGCACTCCTTCTGGTAGATATTTTGTATACAGGATATAAAAAAAAAATAATAAACTCCATTGTAAAACCACTAGCTTTCCTCGCTCCTCTCAGAATCTAAAATAATTATTAATTAGTAAAATTATTATTGATAATATTCTAAAATTAAATTATTATTCATCATAAACAATTTTAAATATTAATTTAGTTCTTATTCTCACGGAATTCAATATTGATAATCTATGACAACGACAAATCAATTATTTCTTTTATTATAATAAAATGTAATGCGCCTTTTTCATATTATACGTAGGTACTATATGCATATAATATTTTTTACGGTAAAACATTTTTAAAATTTAAATAAAAACAAACATAATACATATTTTCTTTAAGTATACAATACTTTGAAAAAATGTTTGAATAATAAATCTTACAGTTAATTTAAAATTAATATTTAATGAAAAATGGTTTACATTTTTAATAATTGTATAAAAAGAAAATCCAACTCTATTTTGTAAAATGGTTTATTATTAATGATTCTATTAAAATAAATATTTTTGAATTTCTACTTAGTGAAAATGTATAGCTGCTACTGAAAGCTGGAAAGTGACAAATATATTAATATATATAACCACAAAAAGCTTTTGCAGAGTGGAAACTTATAACTTGAGCCACTGTTTTCACTCGTACATGAAATTAATTAAATATAAAGTAATATCCTACTTAAATTTTGAAACTTTCCTTTGAAAATGTTTGTAAATGAAGAATTTAAATGAGTTTTATTAAATTTTAATAATTTATAAGACATGCTTAGGTATTTTATAATTAATATTATTGATGCAATTAAAGGCGTACATAGGTATTTTCAAATTAAAAATGTTTTTACAATTATCTCTTTCTGCTTCAGTCGAACAATATGGGGTTATTCCTATCGACTATGGATCCCATATTTCGTTGGAATATAAATAGTATATTATTAAAAGAAATAGAAATACTTTGGATGTATGTACAACTATTATACATAGGTACCTTGGATGTATGTATAACTATTGTACGAATGTAGTTTGTGCAGTATCAGTTTTCAAAAGAAAAATTCTTTAAACAGCATTTGTTTATATTTTACACTTGACAGCACAAAACGAAAAGCTATAAAATTACATTTTTTGTTATGTTTAACAACATTAATAATACCATAGAAATGTCAACGCTCGCGTATATTAATACAATTATGAACGTCGTCATCGTCCGTAGATAATCACGACCGTAGATACTATTACACAGGACTGGGACGCGTGAACAAAATTAACGATTTCGAAAAATAATAACTGACATATTATTATTTCGTGCCCTATATACATTGCATCGGCGTGACGAAGAAAAACAGATATTATTATTATTATTACATGTATGGTATAAACTATAAGACATTGGGTAGGGCTAAAGATTCACAAATCGATACGCGACCGTTCCTACTCTTGCAGTATTTTCCGGTCGTGTTTTGACGAGTCAGACACTCGGACGAGTGAAATGTCAAACACTCGAAACCGGTAACAAATTGGAAACGACACCCCCCCACTGGCACTGCCAACGAAAATAAACAGCGCCAGAAGTCGATAATGTCTTGGCCAACATTGTTTTACCCATACACAATACAACGCAATGACAAGATAAAACCAATGGCAAATACGTCGTATCCTAACTTTTAGAACACCCCTCCGACTCGCCGTATTCTCAACAAACCTATGCACACGACGTGTTCTCAAAAGTCAATCAAGTCCATATTTTTGGAATTTTTATTGTCAATCCAAACCCCCTCCCCCTTGCAATAAATTGTATATACCACCGATACCCTGAATGCTGTGGGTCACAATAATATTATTGCCCTTGTTGTTGCATATATTATAATAAACACTTGTGTGTGTGTGTGTGTGTGTGTGTGTGTGTGTGTGTGTGTGTGTGGAGCTTTAAAGAGGAAAAGGCGCATTGGACAAATCGACGGCGGCACGCGCTCGGGACGTACTTGACCACAAGTGGGTAATAAATCTGCGGTGCTATCGTCAAGTCGTCGCCCCGGAGAGCCGAACTGTAGTAGTGCTGCTGCGGCCTGTTGTGTATGAACTGCGGTGGTAGACCCGAAGTGCTGGTCACGATTTTGACGTCCGCACAGTTCCGGAACGTTTCCGGTAGCCCGCAGCCCAGTCCTTCCGTCCCGTTGTCGCATTTGCCCCACATGTTACCTGTGAACAAAAGCTTTACGATTACGACGGCCGTCGAGACACCTCCACTAGCTTGCACAATAATAATATACACTTAATAACGTACATCGAACCGTTTAAAAACAATCACACGTCCAATGAGGTTTTAATGCTGCAATGGTCAGAGTCCAGAGACTAACGTTAAATAATGATCATAGTACTATTACTCCACAGTGGCGCACTTCCCAGGGGTGAGAGGTGGTTCTAACATTAATTTTTGGAACGTTTGATGATAGTATAATTGTTATAATGTAGGGAGTTTGAAATTTTCATTTTTGAGGGGTGAGGGATCACAATAATAGTTCTGAAAAAAATATTGCATGTATACCACTGCCCGCTGGTCATACAAATGTTTTAATAATAATAGTTAGTCAAGTCCGATGAGAGTAGGTACTAAAGGAAATATTATATTTTAAGCGAAATCAATTAGGTAGGTATATCATAGTTTGAAATTAAAATATGCGTCGTGTCGAACTCAAATATTAACCTTCAATTTTATATAAGTATTAATAAGCAATTAATATTCCTATATCACCAAGTACTTAGGTATATATTATTAATATTAATATAGTAATATAATATTATTTCTTTGAATCTACAATGTTGATTACATCAAAATGTGCACACTTCTCTCCAATCTTAATAATTACAAATACAAAGTTTTTAGTGTATAGAATATTATTTTACTGTTGTCTAACGACGATTTAAATTCTATAAGATTAGTATAAATATAATGTTATATAATATGTATACTTAAACGGACTACGTTGACTACGTTGTAATAGAAAATATATTACAAAAATGTGATTTAAATACATACATATCAATGTGGTATTAATAGGTACTTATAATATTTATAGGTCCTAACAAATTTGACACTTCAATTATTTTACGATCATATTATTATTAGCTGATACATAGATAAAGGCTCGAGTATTGAGGATTTCCATACCTATATGTTACACATACCAGAAACAGTAACAAGATAGGCGAGTACTACGTAATGTGCATTATTATTTATTGCACAGTTATTTTTAAAGAAAAAACCGAATTTTGTCTTCTGAATAATTACAATGATCACTAAAAGGGATAACTAATTATTATTATTTTTTTTTTTTTAAATTAAATTAAATTAAAAATTAAAACTATTGGTAATATTTTTCTATTGAAAAACACTCTCGGCATTGTTGTGGTTAAATTATCTACCCAATACCCCGTGTTACCGTAATATTCTGTTATTAATTTTGTATTGTTGCCTAGTATATTATTTATACTACAATATTGTCTTTATTTTTATAACATTTTTACAAAATATTTTTAAGGTTAATTTACAGTGTTTTAATAACACATTACCATAATATTGTAAAATAGATGGAACAAACAAGTACATACACATTCACATGACGATGGCTTACCTAGATTTACCATCCTCAATGATGTAATCGTATTTATTTTATTGAAGTACATCAAAGTTCGAGTGTGAATAAATTATTATATTGGCATGGGTATTTCTTTAATGGTGTATAAATCTTTTTTTTTTTACTAGATCAATTATTTTTATGCATACGTTATTCACTTATTCATGAAACGGAATAATTCCTATCAGATTAAATATTCTTATTACCTAAATTGTTTCGAGTCGTATTTGAATTTTAAAAAATCAATTACACTTCAATTCATAAATAATTAATTTACAATCCAATAAAAAATCATTATGATAATATAGTCGAGTAGGTATTTTAAACTTTTCGAGAATACATTTAATTTTCCAAGAATAAATTACCATGAAATAATTTTATGTCAGCTAAATATTTAGTATATTTAGTATTTTAATATATTTTTATTTTATTTCCGGAAATTGATTTATTACAAAAATTTCAAGTTTCATTTGTACAAAAAGAAAAGATTTATTTTAAGATAATTTGAAAATAACAGACATCTGCATAAACTTTATCTTAAAACTTAAGTATAAGACAAGACATTTTATATTTTATACTCATTAGCAAATTTGGTTTTTCATTAAAGTGATATAAATACTTTTACACAAAAAATGTATTGATTAATATTCTGTGTACACAGTTATAGGTAATAGATAAAATAAATTATGCGGATATAAGTTGTATTAATTCAAGAAATAAGTTCATAAACGTGCTATAAATATTTTTAGAGGAAATAATATTGAAGTATATGTCAAAGTTGTGACCTGGAATTATGTACACAGTTGTTATAATCAAGAAAAACTAAATAACTTTGTAAACTTAAAATAGTAACTCAAAAACTGTTTACTTTTATTTTTAAATAAGTAAAAAAAAAGTTTTAGAATAATTTAAGTTTGTCTGGTTATCAAGATTATTTACTTAAACCGCATGTGCAGTACATACTAATATTATATATTATTCTTATAGCTTTATTTGTAAAAGTTATCAAACGTGAATATATTTTTAGTACCTATGCAATGGAAAACAAAATTAGAATTTTTTTACTATCGTCATTGAATTATAATATATACATATATATAATATATGGTATGTCTAATAAAAGCAATTAATTTAACAAATATTAATCTAGATAACCGTAGTCCGTAGAAACTAAAATCGTGCCGATTATTTCAATTACAGCTTGTATATACAATTTATATATACACTTGTAAATTTAGTATTTACTTCATCTTAAGAACATAATATATAAAATCAATTAGTTTAATAATTACAAAAGCATAACTAATAAAACATATTAGGTATATAGCGTCATTAAACTTTATAATTCTTCTTTCTTAAGCTGGTACAGACTTAATTAAACTTTTTATCACGAATAGATAATTCATAGTGATTTTCTACAAAATCATCAGAATCTTACAAATTTAAGATTGATTATAATTTAATTTTGAAATACTTACAAGTCATGGTAACAATGATAACTTATTCTAGTAAATGTTTAAAATTATAATCAATTTTTAAAATAATTATTTTTTATATTCCAAGATAAATAATTAAATATAAAAAAAAGTTGCTCTGCTGTACAGTAGGTTACAAGTGGGTCACTGTATAACGGATGGTATTAAATTTGAATTCAATGATAGAATATCAATATATAAGAAAAACGATTCTGAACGGAGACGATATGTCAATCTAGGTATAGGTAAGACATATTATATACTTATCTATGGTATTAAAAAAAATTGACCTATAATAATATGTACTTATAATAAATTACAAATTAATCATATAACAATATCTATTAGGTACTTATAACGCGTTACACATCAACAACAAACCCTGATACTATCATAGATATACAATAGTGATAATAGTGTACTTTAGAAGTTTCAAGTACCCACGAATAATATTATACAATCAAAACAAAATAACTAAAATAGTTATTCTAGGTTCTTTATTATGTAATTTCGTCCAAAATTATTCAATTTTAAATTTGATAAATTTTGTCAAAATTCAACATTTAAATGCTTATAAAAAAAAAATTGTGCTTGATAAAGGTAGATAATCTTATAAGGAATCTTGTATTTAATTTTAAAATCTTAGATTTAAAAAGAAAAATTGTTACGAATTTTTAACTCAAAATAATTTGGTAATTTTTGTGATTTTTCCATATTTTGTCAATTTTTGAACTTTAAATACTTATAAAAATAAACTGTGACTAAGGGTTTTTAATATTTTTTATCTGCCTTTGCAACAATATACTAGGAGCATTCTATTAAATTTACAAATTTTTTAACCAATAAATAAAATTTTATTGAAATTTTTAGAAAAAAAAATGGAAAATGAAAATGTTCCTAAACAGTTCAAAACAAATCATAATATTTTGAAAATGTTATCGTGTATAGAAAATGCAAATATAAACATCATTGTAAAATCAATACATTCATCGTTCCACTCAGAATCTAAAATAATGTTTATAATATATCAAAATATGTTGTCAACATTTTAACTTTAAATATTTATAAAAAAAACTTGTACTTTGTATTGTAGTTTTAATAATTTTAAATAACCATAAAAAAGAAAATTCAAACATTTCGAATAGTTAAATATTCTATAGTTTAAAACAATTCTACATATTTTGAAAATTTCATGGAATATATAAAATTATAATTCAAGTAATGGTGACATGTTTTATGTTCCTACCAATAATAATTTTTGAATTACAACTAAAAAGGAAAAATAATTTTAGAATAAATCATTAAATTTGATTATGCAATTCGTCAAAATATAATGTTAAAATGCTCATAAAAAATGAACTTGTCTTAACACTTAATTTGTATTTTAATCCTAGTAAGAACAACTTATTAGGAATCTTGTATTATATTTTCGGGATTTTGACAAGGAAAAATAAGTTCTTCTTATCATAAATTATCAAAAACTGAAAACATCTATAATTGCTTGAAAACAGCTACAATATTTTAAAATTATATTTAGAAAATACTAAAATACTTAGTATTTGGTAAAAATGTCTGTGGTTATTCAATTTTGAATAATTACAACTAGAAAAACAAATTCATATTATCTAAAGTAGTAATTTATATAAATAAGATAAATCAACAGATACATTTCTGCACATTATATTATTATGAACAAATTTTAATATATCCTACAGAATATACCAAAGCAGGAAATGCTATTCACTTTAGTCTAAAATAACGAGCTATAATAAATCACAGAAACACGCTGCAAGTGATTAGAGTGAAAAAATAAATTATTGACTAACATAATACAACTTAATCATATTCATATTTCGCACTCACCCGTATAATAAGTCCACTGAAGAACACACTGGGAGCACGTGAGATAAGGTGGTAACCTCACCCTGTACTTGAAAATATCTTTCTTCCTTGAATTTTCCGGGATGATATATCGGACCTGCCGTGTGCCAGATATGTACAACGGAAACCTCAAGAAAACAAGAAAATATAAAATTAGAATAATACATTTTTTTTTATAATTTTTTATAATTTGTAAATATTTTACTTTGAATGTTACGAGTGAGTATACATAAAACGTAAAATATAATATAAATTGTCTTTTACTGGTAATAAATAAAAAATATTAAATCAAATTGATAATATCGTGCCCAACTGATAAACGCCTTAAATAATAATGGTTAGATGATTCATAAAACCCTAACGCACACTTATTTGCTTACCTCTCTATACAAGACTGTGTAGCTTCGTATTTAGGATTATTATTTGGGCAGAGGTGCATTTCGAATCTTCCTTTGTGGTTGGCAGTTAATTCAATTTCAACATCAATCGTCTGAAATCCAATAAACCATTTATTATTTTTACTATAATATGAAAATGAAAAGTAATTTAATTTTATATTAGTTTTTTTGTGACGTAACATCAAACATTAATTTATTATATTTTGAAACTAAGTTTCACATAACTTTTCCACATTGCCCCTAGTAAAAATAATTTTTTATAGTGTTTTTTACAGAAGTTTATATTATAAAATAATATAAATTATAGAAATATTATTTTAAGTTGAGTCATCTGAACATACATAAACATGATTCATAATATTATTATCGGATAAGAATTTCTGATGAATACAATAAATGTATTGAATTTAGAAACAAGATAATGATAGAAGACTATAAGAGATTTAATTCATTAATGTCTTAAAGATTTTTTTTTACTTAAATTTCAAATTTATTCCGAATTACATGTAATTTTTTTTCATGATTATTCATCAGATATTATGATGATTAATTATTATATTAATAATATAATATAATATATTGATATGATATATTATTATCATCTGTATCATAATTAAAATAATAAGAACAAAGAAAAATATATAATAATACTAAGATAAAATATAAATTACAAGTGTTGTTCTTATTGTGTAATTACTACCTACTCAAGTATTTACAAATTACTGAGAAAATGTACAAACATATTATAGAGTTGAAGTACCTACCTATATGGCGCATTACGGAATACAATTAAATAAATCCATCATGTTTTAATTTAGAACGTCAATATTGACAAATTTGAATTGTTTTCATATTATTTACATACAAATTTAATTTATAATAAATTAGAAATATTATTAGTTTTTGTAATAATTAAAATCAAACATTAAAATAAATACCTAATATAAAAGCTATTTTTCATAAAAAAAATAATTATGTAAGAAATCATTGTTTTCCAAAGGCTACAAGTAACTTTTGACAACCCTATTTTTTTAGAAATTAGGTACCTAATAAAAATGATTACTGATTTTAAAATTAAAAAAAAAAGTTATGTTACATAGTAAATATATTAATCCATTATTATTTTCTCGAAAAACTTAATAGCTATGTAACTTATAGACACATTTTAAGCTTATTAACTTTTACATTTCTATAAAGAGAAAATACCGAATAATAATAATACCTAATTAATATTCATTAATATTTTTTGTTGGGAATAACACATAACTGTCTAAATGGTCATAAATGTTTGTTTCTAGATATAAGTTAAAATATTACAATTAATTTTTATTTTGTAGTGAACAATTTGAGTAATAATATGATCAGGTCATAACCAATAAATACGGTTTTAACAATTCTACGGAATTAAACAAGAAAAGTTTATCTTACTTATAGAAATGTTAAAACTTTGTGACCTACTTTATATAATATGGTACGTTTATTATCAGTTTAAAAATTGTAATATTTTAAGTTTATTAGTAAACCAATGTAATTAAAAATAAACGTATTATTTATTTAAGCTACATAAAGAGCTAAATTTATGAACAGCTAAAACAAACTTAAATTACTTTTTAGAGGCAAATCCAATTTTCGTTTTAATTAAAGTATACTGTGTGCATAAACATTAGTACATTTCAGCATTTTATGATCATCGAATTTATTTAAAAATCAAATTTATTCTGATTGTATTCTGTGATGTCATTGTCGTGAATTAAAAAAAAATTGTGTCTATGTCGAACCATAATTATTATTGAATATTAACCATGCAATTTCGATGGACCTAATTCGTATCAGGTAACTGGAATTTTGGCGATTTACAAAAAGCTTTAGCTCCTCAGAGGATTTCAATTCTAAATGACATACTGAGCAAAACTTTCGTTAAAACTTTTTTCCCACATTGTGTTTTATTAATATTTCACGAGTCCGTAAAAGTTCTAAAGAAAAGTTAAAGTGTAAATGGTAATTACATCCATGGATTGTGTATTAGAAGTTTTTAAACCAAACTTTATGCGACAATTAAATAAGAAGGTAATCCGTCGAACGCAATGATAGCAACAATATTTAGGTGGAATCGACGGGTAATTATAATTAATAATTAATTTATGATTGAAGAATAATAATCACGACAAACGTGATTGCGACCATCACAATAATGAACCCAGTGTTATATTATGCGCATCATTTATTCGAGTATAATGACAAAACGCTCATAATTGTTTCAATTGACCTTACCTGACCTGCAAAATAATGCCTGCTGATTATCCCTCTGCCGTATTCACCCCCCGCTTCGTGTCGTCTAGGTTGAGCTTGATCGTACGCGTCCCCGCACACTCCGCATTTCCCGTCGTTAACGCTCCATTGAACTAAAAACATATATTATTACCGTCTTACTTGTCTTTTCCTTGCTCTGCGTTTCAATAATATTAGCAAATTCGAGCTCGTAAAGTAAAAGAATAATAATAATAATAGAAAATATAATCGACGGATTTTCCCGATCTGGATTCACATCGTACCGGAATGGCCGCCGCAGAACAATTCGTTATCGTTGTAATCGACCGGATTAGGATATCCGAACCGCCACATACTGTTTCTTGACGGTGGCTCCATAAGTCTTCCATGTCCGACCGCAGGTTCGAATAGATGTACCTATTAAAAACAACAAATCAGAAACGAAAAATCGTTGTATTTAACGGGGGCGGATAAGTGAAAAATATTTTAATCAATTTCGATCAAATGCCTACGTATTAATATTAAATATATAAACCTTACATCTCTAATCGTATGGCAATATCGATGACCAGGTACGATGTCGAAATCGTGGAATTTGTTTTGATATATTCAATATCGATAACCATGGGACAACCATCGGAAATAACATTATATTACTAATGAAAAACACTAAACACTTCACTTACGTATTTAAATCGACAAAAAGTACTTAAGTACCGAAGTTACTAAAGTCACTTGTGTTCATTTTTAACGCTTATTTAGTGAAGTTGTAACAGTCATATTACAAAACAAAGAAACAGGCTATTATATACCCGAAAGAGTACACCATCTTTTATTTCTAAACTAATATTTAAAATCAAATACGAATCCTGAAATGTTGATGGTGAATACTTTTATTTTTATAGAAATATACATACAATTATACAATTATTAATATTAATGTTTTTATATTTGCATTTAATTTATCTCACAAAAAAAGTATTTGATAAATGTAAATTGAATAAAAAGTATAATGAATATTATGAATTAATAATTAAGAAGCATTTCATTAAAAAAAAAAAAAATTAAGCCCCAGTCCAGTATTCAATATTTTTTAATGTATTTTTTAATTTAAATTCATAATTTCTTAAATACACTTCAATGATTCTAGGCAAACTATATTTTATAGTTTATTAGTGTTACCATACCTTTTACATTTATCAAAATTCGATATTATTTGATAAAAATTATATTGTTGGCCAACACTAGAGAATAACGTCATTTACATAAATTTTTAAAAAATGGGGAAAGTAGGGGTAACCACTCTGCTGTAAGTACAGTTGGTGTCGAGTGTACCTCATCTTTGAGGAGCAAGTCACTGTAATACAGGTGTTACATTTTAATTCAACTTAAATCATTCAATACGAAAAACGATTTTGTGCAATAACTATATAAGTATATTGTAAAATAATATATATTAATAATTCTATTATAGTAATTAGTAATTTATTTTGCAATTAGTAATACGGTAGGTAGGTAGGTAGGTAGGTTAAATTATTTTTTTCCCAATAATATTGCATTAAATTTAAACTCAAAATTCTAATTTTTTTTTTAATTTTAAATAATATCTTTCACAATCTGTAAGAAATATTTACAATATGCGATATGGCATGTTAAATAGGTGCTTATTTGTGTGAAGAATCTATCCATTGGTTGAACTTCGTGGCATGTGTGTGTTTTCACGAAAATTAATAACCTTCCTATGTCGCTGCACAATTTTTGATTTGGTCCTCTTCCGGGGTTACATGGGATGATATGAGCAGATAGTTCGAAGTTGAGGAAGGTGAAGGTTGTGGATGTTAGGGAGAAGTCATTTATAGAAGGTTTTAGCTGGTACATTTTGTGCGTTGTATGATTATAAAAAAATTGCATTTGTAATATCTTTAATAATTCGAAATGGATATAATAAAAACGTGAAAAATGAGGAACGTTGTATTAAACTTTCAAGGTTTTTGATGGAGTATCATCTTATATAATATATATTATATAACATTTTACCGTCATTTATGGATAAAAAAATTGAAAATGTTAAATTGGTATCTATAAATTTTATCTTACTATATAAACGTGAGACTTCTTTAATACTTATATACTTTGAAACGGCTAATCTCAGAAACTACCCGACTAATTTGGCTGATTATTTTTTTGTTGTGTTTGTAATTGTCAGGAAAAGTTTTTTTGTAAGACTACTTTAGGAAAATCCACCAAAAAGTATGAAATCTGGAAAGCAAAGATACAATAGTGGCACCATCTGTCATAATAGATTTTTGTTTATTGTAAGGTTACTATTGGTAATTTCAGAAAACAACTATTTTTAAACTAATTTTATTTATTTATTTTTTTTTTTTACCTAACGACTATTTAACCATCTCACGCGTTTATAATATTGTTTAGAAAAATCAAATATCGATAAGTGCACATTGAATTAAAATCAAAACTTTTCATTTCATTATAAGTCCTGCACTATTCAATAATCACTAATTATCAGTAATTATCAGTAATCACTATTCAGTATTCACTAATCAGTTCTAAGTTCCAAGATTTTGCCATTTTGGTTTGGTACAATTAAAAAATATGATTTAAGATAATATAATATATCCAAATGTATACAAGTTGTTACAAATAATTTATTGAACATTTTTTACAATTTTATAACTAACATAATATTAATAATGAAATAGAAACAGTTTCCAAGACTGTATCAGTTGAAATTCAGGTGGCACTCACACTACCGATTAGTTTGGCCGAGTGTTCAGTGTTAATTTTTTATAACTTATAAAACAATTTTGCTCAAAAAAGACATTACCACCTCATAATATAATAAATGTCCAGAAAATTCGGATATTAAGCGCCCTCGTTTTTTTTTTTTTTTTTTTATTGAAATTGCGCCTATACTCGCCATAAAAAAGTTTTAAAAATTTCAAAAACTTTGTATTTCATCTGTTGTAATATAGGTATTTTTGTTTATTGTAAGGTTGCTATTGATTGTTATTGAATATAATTTTAGACTTGTATATTGTATTTGGTCAAAACCATATTGTAACTCAGTAAAAAGGGAATTCCTATAATGCTAACTTTACAGACCGTGCACTACTAACATAAAAAAATTATCATTTTATTATTGTTAGCGGTTATTAGTGAACCTTGTAATATTTGTAAGTAAACTTGATTTCAGTATTTTCAGTTATTTTACAGAAACCCATATTAACTTTATATTAATTATTTGTGAATTAGTTACGATTTTTCACGATAGCAATTTTTTAAATTTTTAAATTTTTTTTTTTCTTATTGATTTTTAAAGCCCAGCGACTATGGCCATTAACTGATTGTGGGGTTTTATTATTGTGGATAGTAGGGTTTGTAATGGTATAATGGTTTGGGTTTTTACACGTGTGTGTTGTGTTTGGCACAATTTTTTATTGGGCACCCGTAGATATCTGCCATGCCCGGCCATAACCGTGACTTGTCCGAAGAAAAATGCAGTCCATGGCCAAGGAATCGAACTTGGAAGTGCCTTAGTCCGCTCGGCCACTCCGCCCCCCCATTTTTAATTTATTGTAAGCTAAAAACATATGATATATTTTGTATATTTAATTATTCTCAAGCAATCAAAGTTTAATTTACAAGTGGTACCTAAGGGGCAGCAGGGGATACTCCGTAGACTGTTTCAATCATCTTAAAATTAAATGATAATAAAAAACTGAGATTCAAATATTAACACGTCATATTTTTACTGAAACATTATAAATTCATTTACATTTTTGGTATATAATAAATTCGTATTTCAAGACTTCCAATAAAATTTATAGGTATAATAAAAGTCATATTTTATTTTACATATTTCGCTCATGTTTTAAACATATTTTCGTTCACAACACTCAAAACTAAAATAATTTGTTAATTTTTATCATCAAAATTGGAACAAACACGATTCATGGTCAGCGGTGGACATTGATAATAGTTTCGTGTTAATAAGTGGGTACCTACTGCATTTATTTTTGTGATAATTTAAAATAGTATTATCTAGTAGGCAATTGTTCTACTTTGGAATGATAAGAATATAAAAACAATTGTATTTCATTAATTTTTTATAAAAAAGAGTTGATTTAATTAAATATCTAAAATAAAAATTCAATATCTTAAACCATATCTTAATTTTTTAACACATACTATTTTAAATTCATAAGAAGTATTCTTTTATACTGTGCCTATATTATGGTTATTTTAATTACATACAATTTAACATACTTTGTCTATAATATTTTATAAACGTAAATCACAGCACCACAGATTACAATAATAAAAATATTGGTTCAATTGGTAGGTTGGTATTGGTTATTTTTTGTTCTAGAATATTATACAGTAAATATATATCTACATGAAAAAGTATAAAACCTAATAAGTCATTATGATACCAAATAAATGTACTAATATTTCTATACCTACTCGATATTTTCCAAGCAAAACGTTCATAAACACTAAACGCTGATACGCAATGTAAACGCAAATGTATTTAGATACCTACGATTACAGAATAACTGCTTCCCATCAATACAATTATTATCAATCTAAAGCTAATGACAATTAAACTAGTTCTTTGAACTTGTATAATTTACTGCTTTTAACTAGCTATGGTAGTAAACAGTTGAATGCTAAAAAAAACCTTATGAATATAATAGGAACACACAAAGTTTGTTAAAAATTACATTTTGAAAGCAATAATATAATTGTCAGATTCTATTCTGTTCTGCATTGTTGATGTTTTTACATCTATGAACATCAATAGGTACATTCTAAGTATTAATATACATTATTGTTAGTTAAATACCTATAACAAGTATTCATTGAACTAATTCATGTTAATTTCGTAAAAATAATGAATTGAAATGTTTTGGATAATAGATAGAAAGCTTTTGTGTTTTATATTTCACATGAAAATAAAATGTACATGGTTATAAAATCAATAGTTTTTCCATATCCTTAGAATATAAATAAAGTATAACTTGATTTCACAAAATCTTCTACAACATGACATGAGTTATAAACATGAGTTAAATTATGTACTTACTTTTAAGCTACATTCATGTTAGACTATACAATCATTTTATTTAATTATCTTATAAGCTGCAATGAATGTTAACATTAATAAAATTGATAATAATTAATAAGTACTTCACTATTATTACTTTTATTAATCCTCAATCCCAATAAATATGAATTCGGAAAATGAAAATAAATACGAAAAGTAAACATTTTGTAAAATTGATTATGTTAGATATTTGACTTGACTTGTTTATTATTTTAAATTAAATAAAAATGGACTTTTACATTTTTAATCTATTATAAGATCATCAAATTGCAGTAAATACTGTCGACAAAAATTGTTTAAATGTATATACCTACATTGGTTATTCGTATACACAAATACACAATACATATTGTATATAGTAATAATAGTTATGAGTTATAACAGACATAATATTATTATATACAAATAATATATACGTATATATTCTTTCAATGAACATAAATATGATTTATTTTTAAACGAGAATATAGTTTATCATACAATTTAATAAATTCTTTAAATCTTAAATTTGAACACACGACCGAATACTTTTGTTGTCGTTGTAAGTTATTCAATTTGTATATTTATTAGTACAAAAAGGGCGTTGCGATGGAAACGGATTTTAAATGTATGAGTTCACTGAAGGCGAAGTTCCCCGATCTGATAATATTATTTATGTCATTTTAACAATGGTCTGCGTAGGTGCCAAAAACGATATTATTAAAGTTCGTTAGTGTTGCATAAATTCCATTATATATTGTAGTTGTGATGAAATTAAATATTCCAAAAAGGTGACAATATTCGGCCAACCTAATTTTTATCTGAACCGGTTTTGTACAACACATTAAAATCATATTTTTTAAACAATTTTCTTTTGTGTAGTAGTTGCAAACAACTAAATAAACATTAGTTAAGCTAATACACTCGGCATAATCTGCTGATTGCTAGTATACATACTTTTACTCAAACAACTTATTTTTATATAAATCGAAACGAAATTGATTTTAAAGTGATACATCATATTGTGCTCATGTAACTTTAGTAGGTAGCAGTATTTTTTAATGTCTACATTTATTTAATTGAGAAATAAAAATACTCATAACAAAATGTATACCTATGTAAAAATATAGTACATTATTTTTTACGAAGGTATTATTTTTTATTATTATATATAATAAATTATAGTTAATAATACGAATTGTCTTCAAAAACTATAATCAAAAATCAATAACTAAATTAATAACATGTTTTAAATAAATTGATTTATTATATTTTGGCCACATGTTATCGTGATATTCGCTACAATATAATTACTAGTCATCTATTCGTATGTTATAGTTACAGATTATTTAATTATGAATGTAAAATTCATAAATTATGTTCACTAAAAACCTGTTTTATAATACCTTAGTATATACTTTAAAATACTCAATAAAATATATGCTTCAGCCATTTTCAATATTTTTTAAATTTGTACATATGTACCCAATGTCCGAATAACGAAATATGTACATTTACAATCTTTTGTTAATATTGTTATTATCGTTAAAAGCTATATTGTGCATAGACAATAGATGTCTACTGCCGTATACTGCCTCTACTCTTTATAGATAATAAAATATAATACTTCTTGTATAATAGACAATTTATGAACACCCTACAATTAATAAGAAATAAATTGTAATTAAATATTTATTTTAAACTTTTAACATTCTTTTATTATAGAATAATTTACGTCCTGGTGTTCTGTTGTTATATAGTTTTTAATAAAATGAAAAGCTCGTTTGAAAGAACATACTATATCATGTATATTTTAAATTATGTGAAATGTTAAAATAAATACTTTAAGCATAGTATTCAAACACTACACTTGACTTATTTGAATGAGCTTTCGTTTCTAATAATTATTCTAAAAGAATTCATGGAAAATAATAATACTATATCATTATAAATGGAAACAAACTTGAGTACAAAGACGTAGAAACTGTATATTTTAATTCACAATTATTTGTTGTTTTAATTACATATTTTATTTTAGCATAATTAAAATGTGCTTTGTGCTCTTCCTAAGTGACAAAGCATAATTTAATAATTTATTACGCCTTAATGCTTATATTTTATAATTAATATGATATAGTGTAAGTGTATGCATACAATCCGTTTATATACTTAGAGATTAAACATTCTTATCTATTCTATGCTATAAGAGTGGCCGAAACTATTTTACGTCATAGAGGTATACCTATTGTTACTATAGTTTATACCTAACAATAATAAGTTTTTATTTATTATTTTGTGTACTCACCCAAAGTAAACAAACAGGAATGAAGATTTGCAGAGTCCATTGAGTAGATGTCAAACATTTTTTCATTTTTGTGATATTACACTTCAAAACGACTGCATTCAAACTGAAAAAACAAAAACTATAAGATAATACCGAATACTGTATTATAGCGAGTGATGTTTAAAAATAATTTGAATCTTTTCACGGGTCCCCCCAAACACATAATGAGTATTATTGTCCAACTGGACAGTTGGAAATCATGATTCGCACCTCTTAACCTTCGATCGCGGCAGATCCATTAGGGAATTAAATTATATTTTTTGTTTATTACGTTTTGATCACAGCGATACGAAATCTTTAACACATTTAGATCAGGAACAGTAGTATTAAATGTTCGTATTACTTCGCAAAGTGGAGTAAACCAGTCGTTAATTGACCCTCGAGGGGCTGCGTGCTACGTTTTTATGACTATGAAAAAACATGGAAATTTGTCGTTCGACAAGGCCAAACCCTCAGGAAAAACGAAGAGAGGGAAACGACTAAAATACAATAGTCCACAACAAAAACAAAACAAAAATATTACGGTGGTAAAAAATATAAAATAAAAGATGGTAAAAAAAAAAACGCATACAGATCAAACACAATGCGAGTATGATCGGAATTTGCGCGCTTCAATTGTACAATATCGACGACGACCACCACAAGAACGTCGACCACGTCCAAAAGGTCATGTACCACGTTTGTTTATGGTATAGGCATTAGGTACTTGTTCTCAAAACTTTGTCGACCACGGCAAGGGAAAAATATAATGTATGGAGTAGTTCGATTATTTTATATATTATATTATTATTTGCAGTGTTTTATGTGTTCTTCCTCGTCGGCTACTCTCCATCCCAATAGCCAGCCTCCCTCCACCAGCCCCAACCCCAACCACCCATACGGTCGAGACACATCCAGACAGTCGGCAGTACAGGCAGGACATTATACATACATTGTATAGGTGCTTGCAGGTCGTAATACTCTGGAAACGACGACCTTCGATTGTGGCTTGTGGCGATCGCGACACGCAAAATGTGTGTAATATTATAATGTTTATAGGTATAGTTTGAATATATTATTATTATTCGATTGTGCATACTATAGCCTTTAGGAGTAAAAAATTAATATTTATTATGTATGCGATGTGCAGACCGTCAATTTCGTATACACTATACTATTATAGATAGGTACCGCGGATCCCGACCGTGAAATAAGTAAATCATAATTTCGAGATCCGTAATGCACTTCGGTGAAGTCTCAATAATGAGTTATAGTGTAGCGATTAGTATAAAATATGTCTCCAGCGATTTCGTTTTCGGTCAAACCTCGTACGAGTAAATGAGAGTGCAATAAATAGTTAGAGACGCTATGGTTATTATAATTGTTATTCTATATGTTATCTTATTGTATTTTGTATTTAAGTACTAGTTCTAAAACCTTATGAGCCATTATAATATATTATATTCTGTTCGCATTATATAGCTTAAATGAATAAAATTAATTTGTTTTGATCACACTTTGTACACGCGATGTGCCAAACAAATTATTTGTATAACGAATATCGGAATATGGTGGTAGCGGTTGTGCCCAAGTACAGTTTACACAATAAATAAAAATTCTAGATTTATATAGGTGATTTAAATAAGAGTACGGATTCCTAGAAAAATCTAAGATTCTAACAGAACGTGTTATCCGATATGTGTAAATGTGTATCCTGAATCTCAATGAATATTCTCTGTTGCTGTGTGCCTTGAGTTTCGAGTTATTTAGTGTCTCCGGAATTCATTTTCAAACTGTTACATAATATAAAGCATCAGACACTCCAAAGAATACCAACGCTCGAGAGTTGTAGACAATATTCTGGTGCTAAATTTTTCAATAGTATAGTCAAATTAATGCATCAACATTATACTATCTAGAGTGGGATTCCGAACATCGAGTGCTAGGGAGTCATTCCAAATAGCGGCCGTAAATACGAATTACCTAGATCCTCTACAATAAGGAAAGCAATGTCTCGGAATCACGACAATAATTTATTGTACAGTCAGATTTGTTATATTTTGTTATATAATATGTATTTTTGAATATAATTGGTATTATAAACTAATATTGATATTGATGTTTAAAATTAATAGTTAAATATTAGTTTACTAGTGTATTATACATTTAAACACACCATGGTAGATAATAATATAAATCACATAATATTATAATACGGTAATATGGTTTTACTACTCTATTCGACATAAACTATTTTGTATTACACATCTATATTGTTGGCACGATAACAGTTCAATTATTTACTTAACAATATCAAGTACATTTTGCACCTCTAGGCTGTAGTCGTATCTACAATAGAGACATAGACTATTATAGCCTATAGGTACTTAAAAAACCATAATAATATTGTTGGCGTTTCCAACGTGTCGACATCGGATCAATCACCGGTATATTAGTGAACATAACAGAACAGTAACATTTAGATAAAAAGGTATAGTTAAAATGATTTATAAAAATTATAAATTGATTGGGATACTTACTAACACACACACACACACACCACTAAGTTCTAATTACCTATATTATTTGACATTTCACATGTACAATTATTAATATTTACTTTCGTTGTATAGATAACATGCATTGTGCTTAGACAAACATTATTCAATTGGATTCAATTTTAAATATGTCGTCTGGCTCTATACAGGAATTACTACATGTTTATAATTGAATAATTGTTTTTGCCCACTGATATAAGAATTATAATCCCTTTGTTTTTTTCTTTGGATACATAAGATAGCCGATTAGATACTTAAACATCAGTTTTACTTGTGATTTGGAAAACTCTTATAAACATAGAAACTCCTTGAATATTCGTTAAAATGTGAAATCTTATATTATCTAGGAAGTAAAACTATAGTGTATAGGTAGTATAGGTACCCACTATACCCACATACAAATAATAATAAATATGTAATTTTAATATTTGACTTCCATTATTATTTTATCATACGTTGTGCTAATTTAAATTAGAAAATAACATAGTTTTACATTATTTTATTTTCAAATTTATTAAACTACAATTGAACTTTTTAAAACTATTAACTTTGTTAAAACTTATAAGATTTCTCATCCCATAATGTATTTAGTTTATAAAATAGGGATTGTAAATATAAATCGTATTTAGGTTCTAAGAACTATCATGAATCATGATCGTATTAAAGACCAATATTACCTACTGATTGGCAATCACTTGTCGCTGTATATTAACTGCTGACTCACGATACATACTAGTTTGTCTTCATTCTTCTTGTTCAACTAATTGTATGGAAGTACGGAACTTT